GCTGAGCTGAAAACAGCACCTCAGACTGAGGAAGTCTCTTGGATGAGAGACGAAACGTTTCTAGATTTTTTTTGCTTCGTTTTGTTTTTTTGAATGTCCAGAGGACCAGATTGAACTTTTTTGGATTTTTCTACCTGGATTATTGAGCATGCATCAGGATGTTTATATGCTAATTTTATGTTTTTCAGCTAATTCCACTTTTTTGCACTCATTTCAACTTTTTCAGCCTAATTCAGCAAAAATGGTCTCTCTCCACTTCCTTCTGGTAATTTAAGCTGTTTAGAAATTTTTAGCTACCTTTAAGCTTTTTTTTTTTTTTTTGCTAATTCCAGCTTTTTTCAGATAATATCCACTTTTTAGTGCTCATTTATGCTTCTTTCAGTCTAATTGGGTAAACATGTGTTCTTTCGGCTAATTTAAGCTTGTTCTACCTTTTCAGCTACTTTTTAAAGCATTTTTCAGATAATTTCAGCTGTTTTCAGATAAATTAAAGTTATTTTTGGTCATTGCTGCTACTTTCAGCCTAATTAACTTCTTACTGTTGATTTCAGCTACTTTCAGCTTTTTCTGCTAGTTTCAGCCTTTTCTGTTATTTCAGCTACTTTTTAGTGGTTTTGTGCTAAATTTAGGTTTTCAACTAATTCCACTTTTTTTTTTTTTAGCTCATTTCAGTTCCTTCCACTTCCCCCTGGTAGCTTAAGCTTCTTTCTGCCTTTTCAGCTAATTTCAGCTTTTTTAATCACCGTAATTTCCGCCGTAAATGTTGTACCGCTATATAAGTCGCATCAGTCCATATTTGTGTAATAAAGTGGAAAAATCAATAAATATGATGCTTCGCCGTATACGTCGCATCTATTATGCGTCACCACTGACACGTCGTGTTTGTTACGCGTCCCCACTGACAACCCGGAAATTACAATAAATGTCTCTCTCAGTTGAACTATTCTTAAAAAAATGCAATTTAATTATCAAATCATCTGATTTTCATTTTAGGGGAGTGGTGGCGCAGGGGTTAGAGAGGTGGGCCTGTGATCCGAAGATCGCCGGTTCACGCCCCGGCCCCGACAACATCAAAAATTGTGGGTGGGGTAGGTGAAAACACTCACACTTGCCCCCACCCTCATTCGCCCCACTCTGGGCCCATGAGCAAGGCCCTTAACCCCACCATGTGCTCCCTAAACAGGTCTCTCTTGAAAATGAGTTACCGTGGCTCAATGAGACTACCTGTATAAATAAAGGCTAAAAATAAATAAATAAATTTTTTAAAAAATTCAAAAATGGTTTTGCTGCCTTGGTGCTGCGAAGCAGGCATGTGCAGCTGGACCAGCCGCTGCATTTCTTTCCAATTTAACAAGATAAACA